GTTGTGTTATAGTAGTTTTAGTCTTAGACTTAATGACTAAGATTTATTGTTAGGGTCCATATTCCCGGCATGACAACAACTACCTGCCACAAAAAAAAAAAAAAAAACGACCATATCATGTCCTGGACAAAATATACTAAAACCAGTAGTTCTTCTTCAGTACCAAGGTCAGCCACCAGGAGGCCCATATTTGACCTTTACCCTTGTCTTCCTAAGATCAAGGAGGTTAAAAATTCTCAGCAAGGAGGTTCAATCCTTCGTAATAGTCAGTGACACCATAAGGCGTCACACAATCGAAACCAAAACACCTGGTGACGTCACGATCACGTGTAGTAAACAAAGGTTGACCTGTGACCTCCAACCATTCAGGCATTTCCAGCCTTGCGCAGCAGGAGGTCGCCAGGGCTTCAGTCATTTCCGGGTAAAAAAACGTCAAACATGGAGAAGGATATTGCCCTGCTAACTGGTCGGTGGAGACAGGACCACTCCAAGAACGAAAACTATGATGAGTTTCTTCGTGACCACGGTAGGTACAACCACCAAGGAGTTACACGGTCTTTATAGCCAATCCTGTGCAACAAGGGTACCGAAGTAACAGGTTCCTCACTGGCCACCCAGTTCAAAGGCAGCATCTCGGTACCCTTTTTAAAGACAAAGTTTGGTTTGCCGATTACCAGTTTCCAGTGCTCCAAGTGTTGACGTACCTTCTGCACTGGAGATCTAGGACGGAAGCCGCCTCACCTCTGTATACCGAGTGCTGAAAGGAACCCGTTTAATACTTCGGTACTTTTGCTCCTCAGTGCAGGCTTCCGAGTGGGCGGGAGTTTTGATGCTGCCTTGGCGGGTATAACCAACCCCTCTCCCGCCAAAACCTTCTCTGGCGGTATAAGTCGTTCTCTCTGGCAAAACAACGGCCGGATACCGCAGTATCAAAACTACCGTCCACTCGAAACTTTGTGTTGGCAACACACATTCCTAACTAACTACTAAACCTCCCCGCGACCACCAACCAAGGTCGGCTGAAGTTCGGAAGCAATCTTAACCAGCTTAGGCCAGACTTACTTTTGTATACAAGTTGAATCGAATTTGAGTTAACTTTGAGTCAAATTTGGCCCCCCAAAAAACCCCTCCAACACTGCTGACCTAATCCCGAACACCTGAGACAACCACCAGGCAACCATGGTCGAACACTCCCGACTGGTCTAAGCATTTTGAACAATAGGCTGGCACAGCCAGAATACTCGGCCGACCTCGCCCGAACACCAGTCCGACCACAGCCGACCTTAATCCCAACCTACTCCTAACCATGCAGGGTTGGGGGCAGTTCGTCACTCAATTGTATTCAGGAAGTGTATTAAATGTTATTATTTATTCATTCATCTGTTTGTTTGTTTATTGATTCGACAGGTTTGTCTTGGTTCGGCCGCATGATGGTAAAGTTGTTCAAAATCAGCCCTATAGAAGAGTACATCGTCAACGGAAACCAATTACCTACCGGCAGTACCATCAGCAGCAAAGACCAGTGACATGACTCTTACTATTGGCCAGCCACAGAAAGTCCACATGGAGGGTTTTGGCCACATGGAGGTAAATAATTATGAGGGTCTGCATGGGGGGTAGTGATTACAAATTACACGAAATTGTCGCGGCTGATTACGAATTAAGTTAAATTCTTAGAGCTGATTACGACTTAACGCTATTTTGGGTGGCTGCCTACGGATTATGAAGACTAAAAAGGCCTGATTACGCTTTACGAAAAAGGGCATGCAGGCCCCCAATTATGCTTTTGTTTGAAAACATTTTGGGAAGCGAGTGTAAGGAGCCCAGTTACAGATTGTGTTATGTTCATAAAATTATATACAGAAGGATCTCATACTAGTATTCGCGCTATACTGACACACGTTGAATAGCAAAGTTCTTTGATCACAACCATTTATTTTTCACGAGCCGACGTTTCAATGACCTTCTGTCATCTTCATCAGGGTTATTCTGACTGGTAGAAAAAATGTTACTGACGCTAGATGTTACTTGCATAGTGCACTAAAGGTGTTACATAGTGCACAGTGCACTTACACTAGTTTTTACTGTTATCAATGCATTTCCGAACGTAGTGCAATTGCGACATACATACTATGCAATGTTACATCATAGGGACATATGCGGTTCCAAATGTAAAGTGTTTCTATATATAATATAAAATTTGTTAACAATACGTACTGAGCTATCACAGTCCCAAATAGAAATTATCAAAAGTCTTGTCACGGATTATTTACGGATGACTGACACACGTTGTTTTGATGCTCCACTCACAGACCAGGGTAGATTTGGACGAGTACGGCCGGCTTGTGACACGGACGAAGAAAGGAAACGGCGATATGGTATAACCACCGGCCGTATTGACAGCCAGGGGCGGCTGGAGCTGGTAATATTTGTCGTGGTTGTATTTTCTTGGTCCATGTTTTGATTTTGATTTTATTTTATTTATTTGCTCATATGTAATAAAAACAATGATTACAAAACATAGGAAAAGTAGTTAGGGTGGAGAAAAAAGCCATAATGGCTTGTCCGATATAATCTTACATTAAATGAATCAGTGAATTAATGGAACTTAGCAACAACTAAATGAAACAATACAGTGAATCAATAATTTAATCAAACGATGAAATACGTTTGGCAAGAAGCAAATTAAAATACAATGAGTCAATGAATATTTTAAGGTACGGGCGAACCCCGTAGTCAACAGTAGCTCGGGCTCAAAGTATAGTAGTGTGGCAGAATGATTTGGAAAGCTGCAGATTCCTCTGTACAGTAACGAGTTGGAAACTGTATTGAATGGTAGAGGAATACCTCAGATTTGAGGCTGTAAAAGTTAGATATTTGGTCGCATACACAACACAAGCACTGTGCGTCGGCTGCAGTTCACATGACCTCCGCATAGCTACAATAAAAGTTGACGTTACTTGGAAGCCCCCACCCCCTATCTGGTTGAAAATTTCGGTGATTCTTTAAGTTTTATATAATGTATTTTGACTAGATTTTTCTACCTCCTTAACATTCAGGAATGAGTTTGGAAATAGATATAACATGTCTGTGTCATTATCTATATCTGCATGTTTCAACTTTTATAACCGAGAAGGTTTTTGTCTCGTCATTGTGCGTCTATTGCTACAAAGTTACCTTTTTTTCTTTTTTTTTACAGTCAATACTTCTCCCATCGGGGAGAACTTGCCGGCGTGTTTTGCAGAGGGTGCAGTGATGAGCTAATGTCGCTAGGAGGCGATGTGTACCAAGACAAGTACCCGATTTTGTACAGATTTGTCTAATGTCGACTCCATAGTATTCTTTCCCTCGATTGAAGGGAGGGGGCGTGGAAACCATTTCAGCATTGTAATAAACAAGAGTCACTTCACTTTACCTGATTGTTCTGACTTTCCATACACATAGGCCATTGAGGAAATTTTTCTGTCATTGAGTGGGGAATATGATCATTTTAATATTGCATTTTACGGCAAAAATTTTCTCATTACCTGCTTTTTTTAAACGGACGAAAATTCATGCGCTTGCGGATGTCACCCGGTACCCACGTAATAAAATCAACATGGCCTAATGTATATAATGTACTATGTTACTGTATTGTACGTATATATTGTACGTTGTCGATTGTAGTTCCATTCAGCATTAAACACACAAAATATCTATATATAGACATGGTGACTGGGTTTTTGGATGTGAAGATTTTCCTGTTTGTATAAAAATGCGCCGCATTACGTAACTGCGTTCCAGGGTGAGCAGGCTGGGCAGGGGTTCTCTCTGGATTGTACCCACACAGTAACTCATTTTTGTGTTTCCAAATAACAGACTAGTACAAATGTATTCAGGCAGTCTGTTTCTTTACAGAAGAAACATATGACAGAATGTGGTTTAAACGTTTTCATATAGACTAAATGTATTTAAAAATAGACTACACGTATTGTTATTATTTTTACCTAAAAAAATTATATATTCGGGCGGTATTCGTTATGTATCATTTATTTTTTGAAAGATTGCATTTGTTACATAAAAAATATCATAGGTATGAATTAACGTTCTGACTATTAAAAATCAGGATACGACAATAATTCCGCTTGCATACAAAGTCTCTGTTCTTGTCACATCGCGTTTCTAGGTCTTCAGTAAACTAGATTTCACAAATTTGGTTGATTTTGTAAAAACAGAAATGGTTTCTCTTAGAACATGATACTAGCGTCTGCTCTAGACAATGCCTTTAAATACATTGTGGAATTGGTCTGATAGGTCAGATAGGAATGACATAGAGTGAACATATATTCCTACGGTACAGTTTTTACTGCATTATGCAAACTAATATATATATCAAGCCAGTTTTGTTGGGTTTTACTTCTTTCACTGACTTTGAGGCAGTAGAAGACGAATTTACCAACTTCTATAACATGTTTGTTCTTTGAAAGTAGAATTCATATACATGATAAATGATGTTTTTGTATTATGTACTCGTAAAAGAATGTGAAAATTTACGGTTGTGTCAAAATTTGTGTAACATCACTTGTCACGTAGTAAATACAATGAAAGCAAACGTAAAGAAGAAGAGGAAGAGAAAGAAAAAGAAGGAACTGACCAAAAACAAGATGTTTACCTCTGCGAAGGTAAATATAATGAGCAAACGAGAGTCAACTATTTTACAGAAGTTTAATCTCGTACAGCAATGAGACTAAAGCATTTGACACAATCCCTTACATGACCTTAAAATTTGTCCCGACGCCAAGACTAGACATCGCGTGGGGACGATTTGCGTGTACTCTTAGAAAAATTAAGCCAACGGAGACATATTGCCGACCATGTTGCGACTGTGTGACCGTCTTGCGGGGGCAGACCGGGTGTATCGGGAAGGAGACAACTTAAATGCCGAGTTGACGTACGCAGGTGCGCTGAAAGAGGCGATGGAGGGCGGAGACAAAGAACTTGAAATCGCCGTATTGAAAAGCATGGGTGACGTGTACCTAGACAGGGGTACTGTGAGTAGGAATGGGAGCGACTTTACAAAGGCTTCAGCCCTGTATAATTCAGCTCTGGTGCGCTGTCAGGACCCAGACAACACCCAGGCCCTCCTACACCGTATCAAACGCACGGAGAAGGTTTTTCTGGAGAAGGTGGGTGGAGTGAAGGAAGCCGTGTCGTCTATAGTAGAAGCAGACCTCACCCACAAGTCGCAACTCCAGGACATCAGGTCAGAATGCGATACTCGCTTACAGGAGATACAAAAGCTGTGTAACTACGACCAAGGGGATCAGAAAAGCGAGGAAACCCTAGCGGCGGAGAGAAGAAGGGCAGTTGCGGTAAGACGACTTTACCATGATACCACTATTAAGATAAAACAGTTCATTTCTGACCTCCTGCAAGAATGTTTTGGCTTGCTCGGCGACCCGCCATGCCCGTATGCCGTTATTGGCCTGGGTTCCATGGCAAGAGAAGAAATGACGCCATTTTCCGATTTCGAATTCGCCATCCTCGTCGATGAAAGTAAAGAAGAAAAGAGCAACGCTCGGTACTTCAGGGTACTGACTTATCTACTTCATCTCAAGATCCTCAATCTTCAAGAGACGATTCTCCCCGCCATGGCGATCAGATCTCTGAACAACTTTGTTTCGGGGGACCCCGCGGAGAACTGGTTTTACGACTCGGTGATGCCGCAAGGATTTGCCTTTGACGGCGCCATGCCCTGGGCCTGTAAAACGGCCATAGGCAGGGGACCGTATAAAAACAAACCAGCACTAGAATACATCAGGACTCCCGGCGGAATGGCAGAGCTCCAGAAAGAGGAGGAAGACCACGTGGCGGATGTACTGCGTAAAGTGTGTCTGATAACAGGAGACCAGCGCCTGGTGAACCAGTATGAAAGATTGGTGAATCAGTATCTGGATTCACCCTCTCATGTCAAGGGCTTGTCTGTACGTACGGAGCGGGCACTGCGCACTCTCTGCACCGACATGGAAACGTTCAACATCCACAGGATCCCAAGGAGGGCGGAACCGTTCAGTGTGAAGAAGTTCGTGTACCGCCTGACCAGTTTGGTGGTAGACAGCTTGGGGCTGTTGGTTGGTTCTGATGAGAAAACAGCTGCCGCCATTTTGTCGGAGATGACGAATCAGACGATAATCCACAAAGTCAACGGTCACCACCTGCAGGTGGCTGCCGCGATAGCTGACGAAACGCGCATGCGCACCTATATTGCCAACGGTGGTCAAAAGGAACTCGCCTCTTTCTGGCCCACATCTCCCGTTACCGACTACGCAGGCGCGCCAATCTTCCGAGACATCGAATCAGGAGCCATGCACCGTTTTTTCAAGACTACATTCGCCCTGCAGTCTTTCTTGACGACTTCAGTTCACCATGAAGAGCAATACAAAGAGTTCGAAATCATCCACAGGCCGGATACTGCACACTTGACGAAGGAAAAGGCCCTGTCTGTCGTTTCAAACTTATTCCATAAGCTACGAAAATCAGAGCTGTACGAAGATGAACCATCGAGGCAAGCCATGGTACACAGTATACTACAAGAAAATGCAGAGGCAGATAACTGTTACAGAGTAGCTATGGCACAGCCTGCTGACACAATGTCAAAATGCAGGATAGCCCTGGACTTCGCCGGGACACTTCTAATCAACGGAAAACAGAGTGAAGCGATAGACGTGTTGCGTGATACCGCGAGTAAGCTTGGAGACTGCCTCAAAACGTCTTCTCCCGAAGCCTCGGACGTTCCCTCTGTGCGACACGAGCTATTCAGGGCATGGAGTAAACTGATAGGGCTGAATTCAACTATCGGAAATGTGGCAGCAGTCAATGACGTATTGAAAGCTTACGATGAACTTTCGCCAATTCTATCTCAGCACAGCGATTCCGATGACAACTGCTCTGTCAATCTCCTCTGCGAAATCGCGCAACATTACTGTCGTATAGGAAAGCACGACCTCGGACTTAAATATCTGCATCTTGCCAAAACTGGTGCAGATAGAATGACGGAAATGACGACAGGCCGTGCACGTGAGTCGTCCATTCTCGCTTGGTGCAAGTTGAAGGTCGGTTTCACTGCTCTGCAACTGAAAGAACAGAGCACAGCCATGCAGTTCTTAAACGAGTCGCTAGAGATACATAGTCGTCTCTACGGATCTGACAGCCAAGCAACTGAAATCACTGCTGCAAAACTGGCACTTGCACTAGCGCACAGACAGCAGGGCATGCATAGGAAATCTAAAAGCACTCAGAAGAAGCTCTTCAGTTGGTTTAAAGCCACGCCATATTTCACGGACATAGAATGGTGGTGGAAGGTATTGAATCCTCAAGAGGAAGATGCGTCCAGTTTAGCTGACAGTCTTGAAGAGATGAAGCTAGAGATAGAAGACGGGCGTTCCTCAGTTGATGCCGTGGGCTTGGCAGGGTTCATCTGCATGTACGCGCGGTTACTCGACAAGCAGCAACGTCACGACGACTTGGACGTGTTCTTGGCAGAGACACTACCTAAGCTTGAGACGTGTCCTTTCACAAGCCAGATCGACTCTTCGGAGTTTTTGTGTCGCAAGGCTGAACCGTGCATACTAGCTGCCGAGATGCTGAGGAAGAGACAACGCCCATTGCAAATAGTACAACATCTCCGATTGGCCTTCTGCCATTTGAAATCGTGCCAACACACCGACACCCACCATTGGTCAAGTCATATCGGCTTGCTTTACCGGCTATCAATACTACAATGTGATATCGGGGACGAGAAGGCTGCACTGGGTACTGCATTTCTGGGGCTTGCCCAGCTCAAAAATCGCAGGGAGCGTACAGCCATAGAACCTGGGCGTGAGGACGCGGGCCTGCTATCTTTGGTTGGGGACGTTTTTGCTAGTCTGAATGAAATTCAGGAGGCTATAAACGTTTGGGAGGTGGAGCTACAGATACGGACATATCTGAAAGAGACCGGAGTGCTAGTGGGAATGCTTCACTGCAAACTCGGCCTCAGGTATCATGTACACTTTTCCGACACGAAGAAAGCAATCAAACATCTGGAGAAAGGACTAGATGTCTTAAACAAAATTCCTTTGTCTACGACTTCCCAGGACGACCATGTCCTCAACATTGACGACAGAGCTGAGGCAAGTGCACGCGTACACGTTCCCGATTTAATATCTCTTTCAAATATGCTTCTTAATAAGCTACGGTCTCCGCCAAAGTTTCAGTTTAAGAACCTTTCTTACCTCACGTAACAATAGACCCTTCGTGTTCAGTTGGGAATCCTAATATAATGCAAGGACTTTGTGATCATTACTCAGACAGATTTGGTATCATATTGTGTAAATAATGATCAACGCTGGAGACCATGATCTATCTCAATACATATGTACAACATACTTTTACTACTTGAACTAATTATAAGTAGAATCTATCGCATTTACTATCTTACTTTTACTCTATTTACTATATATTATTACAGTTAAACAGACAGAGGAGGACAGAGTGTCATCAACTTGAATAAAGTTTATTACATGATTATGGAGCAATTTGGTATGTAACGGTACCTGCCTAGGATGCCACATTGTGTAGAACGTCTGATGTGTCATATCAAACTAGCTTCTTAATAAGCCAAGGTATTGATGTAGTAATAAAACAACCCAAAATAGCGACCGTATCTGGAATAAAGATTCTCCTTCTCTAGCTTACTCCTTTGTATAGGTTATATTCTTCCCTCACCCCCAACCCCCCGCCTGGATGGCGTGTTCCCAAAGCCGCGCGGTCATTCACCCGGGGTCGACTCCGGATTTCGAATGTGGTTCTAAAATTCGAAACGGATTCTAAAGTTCGGTCTTAAAATGCAACTTTTTGGTCCATTTTTTGCGATAAAACAATTTTTGGTGTCTATGTGGGACAAAATGACCATTGTTCAATTTCTTATGTACCAACATTCCAAATGTCACGTGTTAACGACCTGTAGTTGTTTTTACATGGTTGGAGACGGAGAAGGGGAAGAGGACGAGGAAGAAGAAACTGAGCAAAAACAATATGTTTACCTCTGCGAAGGTAACGTTAAACATAATAGTAGTTGTAAAGATGGTTATGATGATGATAATGGTTGTGATAAGTTTTACTAACATAACAATTTTGACAAAGACGATAATAACGTTACCCATTCTTCTTTTCCATCTCATCATCATATCTTTGATATCTTATTCCACTCACACAGACATCACAAATACGTAAATTTTAAGATATGTTTAATCAAAAATATTTTGTATGTAGATAATAACTACTTGAGAGAAAAGTAATCTAGACGAATGTTTTCATGAGAAGTTATGATTTAAGGATAGTGGAACACAGGTGTGAAAAAAGATACGTTTGAAAATAAGAAATTACCCTCTTAACAGTTATCTTATGACAAGTTCAGTAAGATAATTCTTTCAATCAGTGACTATTAAATCCTAAGGTACATACCTCCGAATTTTCGACGACTAGTCAGTTCGTCTTGGTCACGGAATAATCCTAGTCTCGCAGGATAACGCGAGACTAGAACGAGACTTGCGTGGATCTTCTGCCCCCCTCTGCGGAACTTGTACTATACGTGACTGATGAATCTCTTCAACGATATCTTATGACAGTTCTTAAAATGGAGAACTATTTGTCCTTTGCGTTCATCTATATCAAAGAAACGATAGATTTAAATGAGGGAATGATAAATTGACTCAAGTGCAATTCCCTCACTTCTGTTGTAATATTCAGAATGTTTCAATTGTTACATCATAGTTATGTTGCCAAACAATTATTTAGATGTATTCCATATATGGATATTCTGTTTTCTAAAATAAATTAATATTTGGCATGGGTAGTTTTACACCCTACCATCCTTCTTTCTCATTGTTATTGTTGTTATAATCATGGACTACTTTCGTTTCTTGCCATTTGGGATTGAGTTCGAGGGCGGAGTGATACCATTTGGGGTTTTGTGACGCGCCGCTGCCTTGGACTGTCGGTAGGCGGAGTCGGTCCCCAACAGGCCGTCCAGCAAACCGTAGACACCGAAGTTAGAATTGAACCTGGGAGGAAAGACAATTAAATTTTAACATAACTAGAAAGGTAACATTTGCAAAGCAAATGCAATAATGTTTACCTTAGCATACGGTCTGCTATGTTATTTCTTACTCGAACACACTCAATGTATATAGTGACAGGAGTCTAAATCCCTCCTGCTTTAAAATTGCAACATGATGTAACCCAACAGTATTTACCATGATGACAGACGTCTGGTTCAGGTCATTGACCTTATTTGTTTTGATAAGAAGAGGAAGAGGAAACAGAGCAAAAACAATACGTTTTCCTTCTGCGAAGGTAAACAAAACAACTTGAGTCAGTTCTGTAGACAGTTTAACGATTTTGTCTGTCTATGACATACCGTCATTATTTACCAGTTACGTTGAAGACGGGTAGACATCATGGTAGAGATATACGTCGATGCCCAAACTTTATTGAACTCTTTGCTCTCTGTATTAGATTTTTTTGGGGTTTGGGGGGGGTGCAGGGTACGATCAAAGTGGCAAATGATCTTCCCCTGCCCCGAAGAAATCTGCTTGGAAATTTCTCTCATCGAAGGTTTATAAACTTTTCTAATCTTACTTACCTAGAGTGGTGGAAGTCGTGGAACTCAGGAGACCGGAAGTTGAAGGGCAGGCCATATCCGGAATGGTCGGTGACGGTGATGTACAGCCCGTAACAGCCGAATAGCCAGATGGTGCTCACGTGACAACTTGGAAAAATGTGAAGTCCTGTGATTATGTTTACCGAAGGGAAACATATTGTTTTTGCTACGTTTCCTCCTCCTCTTCTTCTTCTCCAAAAAGTGACCTCTGACCTGACTGAACTAGACTGTCTCTCACCATGGTAACTGGTGTTGGGTTACATCATGTCGCAATTTTATAGTAGGAGGGATTTAGACTCCTGTCACCATATATGTGCATGTATTTGAGTAAGAATTAACAGAGCAGACCATATGCGAAGGTAAACATTATGCATTTGCTTTGCAAATGTTACTTTTCTAGTTTAATCATACATTCGGGAAAACCCTACGGGGCGGCTCGGCAAACGCTTTCCCGATCCTCGCGGGGAAGGACAACGCCACATGCCCGGTCAGAGCCTTGCAAGTGTACATAAGGATAGCGCGAGCCCTCGGTATCTCCTTTGAAAAAGGATACCTGTTCAGGACGGTAAGCAAAGACAGCAAGATCCTGAATGAACCATTCACGTACGACGCCGCACAGTATCGCTTCAGAGCATACTTAAGGGAAATAGGAGAGTACAACGGCGACACACTTCACGGCGTACGCACAGCCAGCGCCATAACCATGGCGTTGGGAGGGGCAGACGCCGCGTCCCTGATGACACACGTCGGGTGGAAGAGTAAATCCACGGCCGAGCGCTACCTGCGGCTCGACAGGGTGTGTCACGAAAATTCCCCGGCAGCAATCCTGCACGATGAAGTATCGAAAGAGCCCAAAAAGGATGGACAAGAGCAAACGGGAGCGGGCCCATTCTATAGCAGCAGGAACTACGGGAGGCTCAGACCCGTCTTCGAGTAAGCTTGAACACTGACATTGACAATAAGAGATCAGACGAACTTGATATAGACGTCTGAGTGATATAGAGTAAACAAGAGAGAATATCACCGAAAATAAATGAGGGATTATCGGCTTGTGCGAGCAAGGGGGGAGCCATCACGACAAGGCGGTTTTCAAATAAAACAGATTGAATAGTTGCATAGTTGTCTCCTAGGAGTAATTTTTTCACCGAGTGAGAACCAGCAGGAAGCAAGGGAGGGACAGTAGTATCTTATAGATGAGAAGATAAGGAATGAGAGGTGGATTTGAGGATGGGTGAGGGTCGAGGGGGAAATCAGCAACCTGGGGGGAGGATAACGCTATGTAAGGGGGTTTAAGCATGGGAGCCCCAGCGTTCCACCCCACATCTTAACCCGGACAGAGAGCAGAGTGGCAAGGGATTTGGTACTATCTCGAGCTGCTTTGCGCGGAGGAGGGGGTAAGATGATACCAACTCGTCAGTCCGTCGGGTTGCAGGGAGAGGAAGGGGGTGAGCAGCCCACAGGCCCTCCAGGAGGGGAGGAAAGGGGGCGAAGGAAAGAAATAAAAAAAAGAGAAAAAGAAAGGAAGAAAGAAAGAAAAAGAAAGCAAAGCTAGTGATACATCTCTGTCTCGGGCCCTGGCCTCTGGCCCCAGCGTTCCACCCCACATCTTAACCCGGACAGAGAGCAGAGTGGCAAGGGATTTGGTACTATACTGAAGGTTCTTATCTCCATTTTTATGAGTTCCATCGAAGACCAGGATCTTGTATGTCTTTTAGCTTTTCTTTTACCTTTGTTATGGTGTCTATCATAGCTGTCGTGAAGTTTTCATCTGAAATTAAACTGTTGTTAAAACGCCAAAAACCTGGTCCTCTTTTTTGGTAGTTTGGAGTCATAATAGTCATGCAGACTGCTCTGTGGTCTGGTACTGGTGCTGTGCAAATTTTACATTCACTTGTTTGTACAAGGTTGTTTGGTATAAATCAGTAGTCTAATCTACACTTTACAGCTGCTGACTCATTTTGCCATGTGTACTGTCTGGTATTTAGATTCTTTTGTCTCCAAATATCAGTGAGGTTCAGAGTATTAAGTGTTGAAGTTATTTCTTTGATTGCAGTATCTTTATAACTGATGGGTCTTCCACCTGTTTTGTCTAGCTCTGTCAGAGATATATTGCAGTCACCACCAACTATGATTGTTCCACTTCCATGTTCTTGTAATAGGTTGTTTACCTCTTTAAAGAAGATTTCTTGATCTTTCCCCTTGTTTGGTGAGTATAAATTCATTCAACATAAATCTGTGTCATTTATTTTGGTGTTTGCAATTATGTATCTCCCATTTTTATCTACTTTTTGTGTTTTCAACTCTTATGTCTAATTTTGAATTAAATAGTATTATAGCTCCCTTGATGTGTGATGTGCCATGGCTATAGAGTATATTCCCTCCCTATTCTGTAGCCCATTGCTTCTCATTTTCTTTTGTTGAAAAGGTTTCTTGTAGAAAGACTATGTCTGCATTTCTACCATGTAACCACCTGAATATTTTCCTTCTTTTGAAGTAGTTATTGATTCCTCTTACATTAAATGTTATGAGAGTTATTCTAAGATTTGTCATTTAGTATGGGTTAAAACCTTGCTTTGACTATTCCCTTTGAGCTTGATTGATCTAGATTTACAATAGCAAAAGTGTAGAACAAAATACATATTAAATGAAATAATACAAATAATAACAATAATGATGATAATAAATAAAGTGATAACAGTAGAAGTAACGTTAATCATATAACTTATAACTGAAATAATTATGCACGTATATATACATGTAAAAACATTAACTAACATATTAAACCAGAAATAAAGTTCAGGTCTAGTACTGTCCGAACGACACTAAACATTGCCATCCCCATGTCGACTGTCCCTTCTGTTCTATGAGTACATGACGAGCTGTAAGCTGATACTGCTTAGGAGGATAGTAGCAATACTCACGATACAAAGAAATGTTTTATATGTCGCTGTTTGGAAACAACATATCGCGTAATTAAAAATTCAATTTTTTACAGGCTGCTCTACAATGAGGTATTGTTTGTTTCTTATATGTTAATATGAATATATGCAATAGTCAAACATATAGCCAATGGTCAAACATACACATTTACTCGGAATTTTTTACTTTATTCTAAATGTTACTGGACCTATCCTCAGGAATTGTTTAAGTCAACTGTTAAAATCACAGGTTTAAAATTAGGTGAATATTTTCCCAATTAATATTTTAAAACAGTATGTCTTACACCAATTATGATTATATATAAGTGCCCCTAAAATCATTTTTCTTGATTAATACTTCATATTGTATTCAGAACTGACTCATTGTGCAACCTCGTACGCGTATACTAATACACTACCCTAATGTATTATATGGAAAAAAAGAATATCTTTTAAACCGTGATTTTGCCGATTAGTGTGCTTGCGGTCATCCCACTTAAGATGTCAAGTTGAGAGACACTGCGATTGAAAGTTTTGTTCATCCAGTTGACAATATCGATGGCCATCAGGGAATCCACGCCGTAGTTGGTCATTGGCTGGTCAAGGTCGATCTGGTCTGGAGACATGTCCAGGAGCTGTCCGAGGTGGTCTAGCAGCCGTCCCCTCAGCTCATCCGGACTTTGGACATTGTCAGCTGTTATAGACAAGAATGTAACTAGAAAGGCCAGCATTTGCACAAGAGCAAATACAGTACATTTCACCCATTCTTCTTCCCCATTCAAAATGTTTCCATTCACCATGCAATTCATACCACCCTGTATTTGCTTGGGGGTTATCTTTCCATGGAACCCTCCATCTGTTTGATTATGTGAAATTTGATCACATTATCCCAGCAGCCAATATCAACAAGGAAAAACTACTCCCACCTGATGAGAAAGTAGGTCATGTGTGCCAAATATGGTCATGCATGCCACTTTTGCCAAATATGGTAAAACCCTAATAAAACCATTGTAAAAGCCTATCCAAAAATTAAAAAAAAAAACATGCCTGAGGGTATTTGACCACTTTACCTCCATACCAAATTTCAGGTCACTTATCCCCAAAATGAAGACATTAAATCCATTTAACGAAATGGCAAGAGGGGAAGGAGAAGAAAAACAGGAGGGAAAACAATACATTTCACCCATACTAGTATGGGTGAAATGTAAAAAAGGGTTAACAATTCAAACAAAGAACGAGATCTCATACCTCCATTAAATATGGTATGCTTTGTCATACTAGTAATTCATTTCAACATGTCCACATTAATTATGCAAATGACATCTACGTTAACATAATATATGTATAGCGGTATTAACCTTTAAGTAACTTACACATGTCACGAGGTATAAATATCCCATCAATCACCAATAAGGAGTCAAAGAATTTTCACATTAATTATGCAAGTTAGGCCATCATTAGCATAATTGGTATCTGTTGATGTTCCTCTTGCCACAGATTAAATAGATTACATGTATACAAGAACTATTATATAAACACTGTAATTATAGAATTTCCTCATTAATTATGCAAATTAAGTCCTCATTTGCATAATTTGCATTTTATTATGTACAACTCTCTCTTAGCTACCTGCACACCAAATATGATGAAAATACGTTGTTCCTATCTGGATAAGCTGCTAGGGGGACTAAACCCACACCAATTATGCCTAACTGGATCTGTCACCAAAAAGTCAAGACCATAGCATGTTCAGGACAGAAGATACAAAAACCGGTTATGCTGCAGTACCAAGGTCAGCTAACAGGAGGCCCATATTTGACCTTCACCTTTGTCTTCATAAGACTTATCAGCATACCAAATATCATCACAATCCATGAAGGCGTTATGAAGTTATGCTGACTACAATGTTGCGGAAACAAAGACAGACAGACACACAGACAGACAGACAGACAGACACACACACACACACACACAGACACAGACACGCCAAAAACAATACCTCAATTTTTCATGGAGGTAATGACAGATGTCGCTTTTAAAGAGTTTGAATAAAGCTCACTTCTGGTTGTATCTAAGAATTCAGTTTTGCAGCTTTGCTTACCAGGCTTCTCCTTTACTTGCACATGATGACGATACTTCATGGAAGTTGGATATGAGAATTGCATGATCCTGCACCAGTCCTGTACAAAAAACAATTCATTGTATATTTATGCTACTATAAAGTGATGTAATCTCAAAAGAAAGTGTCTATATATTTTCATTTGGAGAATATATTGTCTATATATTTTCATTTGCTGGAGAATCAATCATACAGATCACTGATTATAGTCGAAACAAAAAAAAACATTTTATAGAAGTTACATTGTGCTCTATATTGTATTAGATTCTAATAAAAATAGTTACGGCACATAGGCTATCTCATGTAGACTTTGTTTCCATGACACAAGAACAAAGTTACATGTGAGTGGTTGATATTTTTTTGGGGGAAAAAGAATTGTGAATTTTTTTACCAATTGATTGATTTCCTATGTGATTGATTTTCCTAATAAAGGTAATTGCCAAATTGGCAAAGTTAATCTAATATCTAACGGTGTAAAAAGATAAATAACCTAGTGGCAATGATATGGGTAATTTAGAATTATAGACTATTGCAATACATTACAAATAACAGTCCATTTTAAGATACAACAAATTATTTGCCCAGAAGGAAGTTTCAGAAACTGCGATACGCACCGTGTTTGCAAGTGTGATGACAGGGATGTCTCGGGCCTGTAAGAGACGTGGCATCATCTGCAGAACATTGTTAATGTGGAGTGTCAGGGAGCCCTTTCCTTTGACGATTTCCGTAGCTTTCTTCTTCCCCTCGAGGAAGCCGACCCCTCTGACTGCACCCAGCTGTAGGGAGAGAGCTGGAAGACCTTGTAGTTGTCGGTGTGCTGCAAGAGCGTCAAGGAAGCTGTTGGCAGCCACGTATCCGCACTGTTCTGGATTGCCCCACGTCGCAGACACCGATGACAGCAAGAAGAAGATGTCCAGCTCGTCCTGTTGCATTAGCTCATGCAGGTGGAGTGCACCCCACGCCTTTGCCGCCAAGGCTCTTTCCAACTGACCTTCGTTGACGTCAAGAACATTTGAATCATCAATGACAGCAGCCAAGTGGAAGACGCCCTTCAATGCTGGAACCAAGGGGTTCTCTCGGAGATGATTAAGCATCTTCTCAAGTGATGTCTTCTTTCTCACGTCAACTGTAAACGTGTGCACTTTAGCCCCTCTGCTTTCCATATAGGCAACTGTTCGCCTGTTCTCTGCAGTTTTGCATCCGCTCCTTGACAGAAGAGCAATGTGCCTAGCCCCATGATCAACCATCCAACAGGCGAGAGCCTGTCCGATGCCGCCGAATCCACCGGTTATGAGGTAGGTGCCGTGCGCATCAAAGGTTTGCAGGGGCGGTTTTATCATCTCTGGCCTGAACATAGACGGCACCTCGAACACAACCTTTCCTATATGTTGACCCGTCGAAATCCATCTCAACGTGTCTTTGTAGTCGCTGATGTCTTTGACTGTGGTCTTGACTGGATGGATGATACCATCTTGCAAAAGGTTGCTGACGGTCTTCATTAACGTTTGGATCTCTGCAGGCTTCTTCTTCATCAATAAATCCAGTTGAACCGAGAGAAAGTTTTTGTTTTCCAGCAAATGTCCGATGTCCATTTTCCAGTTTTCGAGCATTGATCGCTTTCCGATTTCGCAGATAATGCCGCCAGGGCTTAGAGCCTTAAGAGTTGTAGTTTGAAGGTTGCCGTATAAGGCGCTGAGGGCAACGTCCACTCCTTCGCCATCTGTCCATTGCAGGACATCGTGGTGGAATCTTGTAGATCTTGAGTCAGAAACATGTGTTATTCCCAACTCCTGCCTGAGAAAGTTTCGTTTTTCCTCAGATCCAGCAGTGCAGATTATACGGGCACCGACTACACGCGCTATCTGGATGGCTGCCTGTCCTACCCCTCCACATGCAGAATGGATCAGCACTGACTGGCCCGAACGAAGACACGCCCTCTCAACCAGCGCATAGTAAGCAGTGAGAAACACCATGCTAAAGCCGGCAGCGTCGGTCCAGTTGACGTTTGGCGGCTTCTTCACAACAAAGCGCTTGTCGCAATCAACATGAGATGCAAAGCAGTGATCCCCAAAGGCAATGACTTCATCTCCCACTTTGACATGTTCCACAGAACTACCAACCTCCACCACCGTTCCAGAACACTCTAGACCAAACTGGGTTTGCAGGGTAAGACCATCAAGGAGTCCAAGCACCATCATCACATCCTTGAAATTAACACCTGCCGCATGAACTTGGACTTTAACTTGATCACGTGAAAGACATCCAGATGGCAGTTCGTAAAACTCGACGTCTTCCACGGTTTTGGCCTTACCTCCAGCGGCATCAAGAACCCAGCGCTGGTAAAGATTTGGGTAGACAGTCTTTGCAAGAGGTATTCCGGTTAGCCTTGGAGCTAAAACAGTGCCATTCCGGATCGCTAGCTCTCTCTCGGCTGGTGGTTCAGACAACAGTGTGGCCAAAGTACCAGTCAACTCTGCCAGTCCTGATGCACAAGTCGTTGAGGGCAAATCGACCGTGTAGATTGGCAGATCCTTAACCTCATTGTTGACAACTCGGAAAAAGCCTGTCACAATAGATGTCGCCGGCCTCGAACAGTCTACGCTACCGCCTGCTGTAAACACCCACATGCAATGCACCATTTCTGACGCCTCACTGACAGATTTTATCAAAGCTAATGTGTGCCTCAAATACGTATCGTCCTCTGGCCAGATGTAGACGACATTAAGGCATTGGCCCTGAGTAGATATGTTTACGTTGTCTCCAATATGACATATCAATGTGTCTTCGGGCAGGACGGTAAGCAGCGTTTTGGTGAGTGGGCTGTCTTCTTTACCAACAAGAATCCACTTTTCATGGTTGTTAGGCATCGACATGGTTGCGACAGCTGTTGGTGATTCTCCTTTCCTGCCAACAATTGCTGAATGGAAAAATTCATTTGGAGACGACACACCTACGACATCGGTCATTCCCCCGCTCACGAAGAGGTTGCACCAATCTTCCTTGGAAAGCCAACATGAATCTCTTCTGTACTCGTCATCATATGCCCAGCACAGCTCCAAAGACCCAAAAATCATTTCGAACATGTAAAAAGTATTGGTAGGCTCCAGCATAACAAGCCATCCACCAGGACAGAGGAGACTCTGCACGTTTTTCAGTCCAGCCATGGCGTCCACGGTTGTGTGAAGGGTGTCCGTGCAGATAACAATGTCGAACGTTCCAGGGACGAAGTCCTGTGACCGCACTGGCTTCTCAATGTCGAGCTGTTTACGTTTGACAAATGGAAAATCCTGAAGAGCCTGACTTGCTTGGGCAAAGAAGGTGGCGTCGAGACCTGTGAATACATACTCCAGGGAGCCTGCCTCTGCGAAACGCCTGACATGTTTCAAAAGTATTTGTGCGAGTCCCCCGACCGACCACCTATTTCAAGGATCCGGACAATCTGCTTGCATGTTAGTGCAGCCTCTACGACCTTCTCAATGGCCTCTGTACAGGCGTGGTAGTAAAGCTTGATGCTCTGTGAAGACATGAAGTACTCAGCTAGGGTTCCTTCATCAAAAAGCGTTGGCATAGCTACTGATGGGTCTAAAAGAACAAAGGGCAGTAGGTCTCCGAGGCGTCGTAATGTGTTCAAGTCGAGCTCAAACGCTGGTACATTATGCGCCATCTCATCTAAGTGTTGATGAATCTCATTAAGCGAAAGGGTGGCGATTCCTGACTCTTCAGTAATGATATGCTTGAGTCTTTCCATGTACCGTGCGTTCATTGCATTGACTTCCTCTCCCGTGACCGCAGCAAGAGCATGGCGACTGTAGGATACTGTCACACGTTTTAGTGTAGGGATAACCGCTTCTACTGCCTGAATGATTTTCATGTCATCTTCAAACTGTCTCCAAAGATGGGTTGTGTCAAATACGTTGTAGAAAATGTTTGTCTTGGGCAAACAGGAATGGATAGGCTGCCATTTGGTTTCGTACAGGCAGCTGTCTGGCGTCACATCGGTACTGGTGCTCTGAACGTCACGCATCTCGAAACCGACAATATGGGTTAATACTTTCCCCTGGGTGGTGGTCAAGGTTATGTCCGCTTTGAAGAGCACGCTGTCACGGTCGACGATGGTAGCATGGGCGACAAGCGGTTCCCCTAGTGGGAGGGAAGGGACGTACATCTTAAAGCTGGCGATACGCGTTGGTAGATACAGGGTGGAGCTGGGGCCAATAGCGGCAATAGCAACCTGAAAGCAGCCGTCTAACAGTGTTATCTGTATCCGTTGTTGCGTATCATTTGCTGGCCTTAGATAACCCACTGCCTCCCAGTCCCCAATGACAGCTTTTTCCACAACTTGGAACGCGGGACCATACTGAAGACCCAAGCCATCCATTCTCTGGTAGAATGTTGCGGAGGTGACTGTATCTAATGCCTTTGTCACCTTAATGTCGGGTACGCTAATTGAAGATACGTTTTCTGGCTTAGCAACGCAACCTTCCGCATGTACCGTGTCTGTGACAATCTCCACTTTCTTCCCGTCCCTATTTAGTGCAAGCTGCAATATCGCCTTGGCCTTGCTGTCACCACTAACCTCTGGCCAGACTAGGACTTGTTTAAAGCGTATATCTTCTAAGAAGGGATTTTCAAGGTCACCAAAGGTCAACTGAGCGATGAATTCAACATATGCGGCGCCAGGAAACACAAGCCTGTCATTAACCATGTGATCTGAAAGGAAAGGGAACATCTCAAGTGTGATGTTTCCGTTTTGACCTTTGAAAGTACGATCTTCAAGACCAAGCCTCTTCTTGCGTGATGCATCAGCTTCTTGCCAGTGACGCTGATGCTGCCAGGCGTACGTCGGGATTGATGTCCAGACGGCTGTGTCTGAAGTTACGTTTGACCAGTTGATGTCCACCCCGTGGACGTATAGTGTACCCACGGCTCGTAAAAGACATCTCCGGTCATTCTGATGTCGCTGCCCACATGGCACCGTCACTTCCACCAGGTGGTCGTCATGTTTCAGCGTTTGAACAATGGAAGATAAGAGTGTAGCTGAAGCACCGAGTTCGATGTAGATGTCGGGGTTGTGATCTCTGATAACTGACCTGGTTGCAGACGTGTAGAGAACGGTTTCCCTGATGTTATTCCACCAATAGCAGGCATCAAACTTCCCAGTGTAACGGTCTCCTGTTACTGTTGAGTAGAACGGTATGCAGTTTTTACCGTCTCCTTCTGGCTCAAAGGAGGACATTGCCTTAAGGAAGGACGTCTTAAGAGGATCCATGTGGTGGGTGTGGAACGCACAGGAAACACGCAATACTTTTATTTTGTCTGGGTTTTCTTCTTGCAACGCCTCAACAGCCTCAGTAGCTCCTGATACTGTGACAGAAGTTGGGGAGTTGTCGCAAACTACGTGCACGTCTTGGAATCTAGTGACAAGTTGTCTAGCCTCCACCATCGATGCCCGTACGGCCGCCATCCTCCCCGTTCCCGCGAGCTTTTCTTGCTCCGTGCTTCTGTGGTAGACGACTCGGATGGCCTCCGCCAAAGTCAACCCACCACATGCGTAAGCTGCAGCAATTTCACCAAGGCTGTGACCAAGAATGGCATTGGGATGGACTCCCCAATGCTTTAGTAAGGCAAAGAGGCCAACCTGCATAAACAATATAGCCGGTTGGGAAGCTCTCAAACTGTCAAGCGGTGCCTCTCGCACGCCGTCGGTTCCGGCAAATAATCCAGATTTCTTCAGGAGAGACCAGCCACTGATTCCTTTGAATATATTGTCGCAGGCATTGACGGCTCCTCTGAAAATTGGCTCGCTCTGGTACAGCACTCTACCCATGTCGTTCCATTGCTGGCCTTGACCAGGAAAGACAAAACAAATATTGGGTCGGGACATTTGCATTTCCCCGGTAATGACGTCAAAAGTGGACGTCTTGTTGATGTAGCACTGTAAGGACTCTCTCATCCGAGTCCCCGAGTTGGTAATGACAGCAAGCCTGGTTGGGTGATGGCTTCGTCGTGTTGCGGCCCACGAAGAGACGCAGATCGCGTCTTTTGCGTCCTCGAACTCAAGCCACTTCGTGGCAAGGTCGGTCAGTGCGTCTTGTGACTTGGCACTGATTGGAAGAATGACGTAATCCCCTTCTTCATCATTTGGGCCGAACTGCCATCCACTCCGAGGGCGGGAAGGATCTTGGTCTGTTACTACTGCAATGTGCTCTTCCATGATGACGTGGGCAAGGGCTCCCCCAAATCCAAAGCCGTTGACTCCAGCGGTCATCTTCTGATCTATTGAAAACGGCTCCAAATTCGTCTGCACTTCTAACTTTAACGCTTTAACGTCGATCTCGGGATTGGGAGATGTGTAGTTGATCGATGGACACAGGGTACGTCTGTCCATCATTAGCGCTGTCTTGATAACACCCACTAAGCCTGATGCGCACTCCATGTGTCCAAAATTGCTCTTGCTGGACCCGATCCTCAGTGGTGACACACGATGTGGCCCAAAGGTATTGCCAATTGCTAAAGCTTCAATGGGATCTCCAACGGGTGTACTCGTCCCATGAGCTTCGATGTACGATACACTTGATAAGGGCACACCGAAGCGGGCGTACGTGTTCTTCATTAGTGTCCCCTGTGCACTGGATGAAGGCATTGTAATGCTTTGACTAAAGCCGTTATCCGCTATGGCACTTCCTTTTATGACGCTGTATATATGATCTCCATCTTTTACAGCATCTGTTAGTGGCTTGAGTAGAATGGTGCCAAATCCTTCGCTGCGAACATATCCGTTGGCTAATACGTCAAATGGACGGCTGAGTCCATCTGGCGACAACGCCCCCAATGCGCTAAAGCCCACTGTTACCTCTGGTTTAAGCAATATGTTGCAGCCACCAACCAGAGCTACGTGACACTCCTTATTCCTCAAGGAGGAACAGGCGAGGTGCAGCGCGGTCAGGGACGACGCGCACGCAGTGTCCACGGCGAGACTAGGTCCCTTGAGGTTAAAGGCAAAGGAGATTCTGTTTGCAGCCAAGCTATGTTCAAGACCTGTGTTGGCATAGCAATTGAACAGGTGCCTGTCGGGGGCTAAACCCATATGGTAATCGAACATTCCGATGCCAATAAACACACCACATGACTCAGACACACTCTCGGGCACGATACCTGCATCTTCAAATGCCTCGTAGGACACTTCCAGCAGGTGACGTTGCTGGGGGTCCATCATGGCGGCCTCACGAGGTGAGATCTTGAAGAAGGTGTGGTCGAACATGTCGATGTCGTCCACAAACCCCGCCCTGCACGTCACGTGTGTGCCTGACTTCTGCGGATCTTCGCTGTAGTACACATCTAGGGACCATCTGTCCGGAGGAATCTCGGTGATGACGTTTCTCCCTTCACTGATGACGTCCCAGAACTTGGCCGGGCCGGTGGTTCCACCAGGCATCCTGCAGCCTACAGGTAGACAGAGACTCGATAAATTTGTTCTTACTTCCGGGACAGAAGTAATGATTTGGGCGGTACTGATTTTATAATAGAGGTTCGTATAATACACGTGTCGTTAAGTAAGTTAAGCCAAACAAAGGTATGGAAGATATTGGGGCGGAGATTGGGTTTTAATTGATTAACAATGTTGTGAGCCGGTATGCTCTGTATAGTAAGTTGCGGTCGCTAGGAATGTGTACTGTATTATCATGGTGCAAAATATAAAGGTTTAACTTAATATATATAAAATCGTAAAAACCATACCTTAACAAAGAATGATGTTATCTAACTGTTAGCTAGTTACCTACATACGAAAAATCACAACGATACTTCAATCAGTTCTTGAGTTATGCTAAACGTCCCTGTAGTTCCAGAACTATCTGGATCCGACCAAGTTTCATTACAATCCAGCTATAGCTTCTTGAGTTATCGCGCACGCCCATTCACACACACACACACGCGCGCGCGCGCACACACACACACACACACACACACATACACACAGAGAGAGACTCTACCAAAAGCATAACCTTCTTGATGATGGTAATAACCGTCATGGAGAAGGTAGTAAATCTCACCTATCCCAACGATGGCGATGGGGACGTGATTCGGGTGTTCTTGGTCTTGCTGGGCGCCTGGCCCATGCTTCATTCCCTGCTCGTCCATGTCTAACGGCGCACTGAAGACATCGCCAGTGGAGAACCGCTCATATCTGATGCCAACCTGTTCAGGAAGATAGCAGTAATACTTTAGACAGTTGTGACGATTTTGTAGATATTATTTTGACCCTACAATATAGGTCGAATTTGCATTAAATAAACGAGAAAATTTTATAAATCGACAGTGTTCCAGGATATGACTATCCAAACAGGTATACATACGTGATCTGAGAAATTCTTACACAAAATTGATTTCCACTTGCTTGGAATTGCAGAAATCAACTGTGTGCATTTGAAATGGTTACAAATAGTTCCATATTTTGTGGGAAATTCTTCATAAGACAAAACATTACCATTTGAATTCACAATACCTTTTACTCGTATGAAAACAATTTTCAAAAGCATTTAATACAAAATTGACAAAAGCATTTTTAAATGCTTAAAAGCAAGTTAAAAATCCCACCATGTTTATCCAAAAGAGTAGGGGACCTTCCTGGTGTGAGTGGTTCAAACCTTACAGTCTGATCTCAGGTTTGACATCTTGAAGAGGTGATAGTCACCTGTTATGTCAATCCTTTCACAAAGGCAGTAAAGTTTCATAGATAAATATAGGCCAACAGATACTTCATTCCCCCGATCAGCTATCATGCAATTTATAGTAAGTAGCTAGTGTATGTTTATGTGTTTGTTCGACAGATCCCCATTTGTGAACATATCCATATAATACACTATTCCTCCTGGAGTTATAATCTTGTTGCAGTACATTTATAAGAATAACGTACAATTTCGATTAAAGTTAGTCACTGGACAAAAAAGCAGTTGATGCTACTTGAAACGTCAGACAGTACGTTTTCAAAATCTATCCAGATGTTCGAGTAACTATTTTCTCTGCAACCTACAATTTCCACACAGAACAAAACGCCATGGAAGTCGTTCTCGTTCCCTTTGATGACCCGCTCCTGATCAGTACTACCCTGAGAACGAGTCCATCACACAGACGCCATGCCCAATTAGTCCGGCCATTTCACATACCGGACCGCCCCCCTACATGAATGTTGCTTTGTTAACTATAGAGTCCAAATTAGCCCACATGACATGATTGAGGTATTAGAAAATTGCTGGGTCAGTCCCCTGCCTTGTTACTATAATACAACAATACCCTCTATTCAATGGACACCAACAGTCGCAGAGTGCGAGGTGTTATAATGTATGCTTAGCCATGCCAATAACTGCTCTCGTTTTTCGGACAAATATTAAGTCTACAATTAACCATCAGATAATTATACTGAGGCTATTCATTTCACACGGGGAGGTGTTTGGTCCAACAAAGTGCATTGGGTGTTAAGTTAAGGTGACAGGGAAAGCCATTAATTTTACAACGGGAAGACTCAGAAACTTACAATCGGGCAAACGTATCCGTCGCTATCCCTGGGTTGAATCAAATCATACAAAAACTAAGAGTTCTACAAACACACGAGCATACACAGTACCGTACGAAAACGCCAGGTGAATAATATTAATCTTCCTTTTTTACAACCATTACACACCTACCAAATGGGTCATCCACAGCCTTTCGAGTGATGCTGTTGACATACATACACAGACTCAGACCACGGCACTCCACCATAGAAAATATGGAAAACACAACCTTCTTGTCGAAGGTATAAACTTGTCTTGTCGAAGGTAACGCTTAGTAGGTGGAATGCAGATGGCATGTTATCGAAGTTCTATACAAGAAGTGCGCGCAGATGTGTGTTTTTTTTCGATATTAAACAATGCGGGAGGTGACGTTTTGGGTAGCAGGACAGGGTTGGTTACCGTTACCGTGTGCATGTGGATAGGACTACTGACTTAACAAAAGTAGTAAAGACAGTGTCCTAGCAGACTCGTGCGAAATCGATTTGTGTGGAAAAAAGGTACAGATTTTTCCCACCGCAATTCTTTTATAGCCCGGGGACCTTTTTTGTAAAAAGAGGTCACACCATGCTAATGCTAGCTGTAAAACTAGAGCCTTGGTCTAAAAACTACCGACATTCAAGTTCAAAAGGGCGATCCACAATGAAGGAACGTTTATGTTAAGAAAAATGTGTTGCGGGAGTTTCCTTCTAGTGTAATGTTGTGGCTAGTTTGTGATTTTTGTCCAAAATGCATGACAAAAGTCGGTTTTATGAGCTTTCTTTGGAACTCGACCGTCCCTTTTATTCGCACAGGCCAAGACGAATGATCAAAGTAAGGAAGTGAAAATCAACGTTGTTGTCCCCCGTTCCGCCGAATGTTTCGGGTGCCGAACTGTCTGCTATTGTCTGTATTGTGTATTTTTATGACCTGGCTGACATGACTGCACCTGTCGGATTCCTTTTCACTGAGGTCTCTTGGGAACTGTGTGGGGAAAGTGCACTATTATTCATGTTATAAAACCCTCATTTGCATAGGACTGGAAGGAATCGAATGATCCTGTTGACGTTTAACAGCTTGCTTTTCACTGTGTTTTGAGGTGTTGGGGCATGTTATGCTCAACATTAATTGAATTACTATGGGTTGAATCTGAAAACTAATAGAGAATGAACTTTTTGGAATATGTGGTTTGTAACGTTATAGTGGTAACGCTATACTGATGCTGTAACGTAACAAACCACATGTTCCATGTTGAGAAGAACACTAAAACTTCATTCTCTATTTGTTGTCAGATTCGGCCCATATATAGTAATTCAATTAATGTTGAGCTTAAAATGCCCCAACACTTCAAAACACGGTGAAAAACAAGCTGTTTAACGTCAACAGGATCATTCCGATGCCTTCCTGTCCTATGCAAATGAAGGTTACCCCCACGTTTTCGCGCTGCATTCTGGGGATGGGAAACTGGTGGATATCAGGAAATATGTCTCCATCCTGAATTTTTTTTCTTGTGCCGCCCTGAAATTTTCGCCCTGGATGCCTTTAGAAAAGCATATCAATGATATGATCTTAGCAGCTTTGCAATGTTAGAGCTGAGAGGGAAGAATTCTGTTGGACGTGACAGTAAAAAGAAAAGAAAAAAGAGAAGTTACTTTGGATAATGTAATCAACCGACGGTACAGTTCCCGTGATTATCTGCATGTTATATATCGTGAGGGCGAGTTTGTGTTTGTATACCTGGGAACTAGCGTGCGTACACGCGACCGCTGGGTCTTTTGAACCACCCCGCCGGTAGCTTTGTATTCAGCTGGCCTCCGTAGCAGGCTTATCTGAGAACTGGGGGGTTTGGTGATCTTCGCTGTTTTCTGATTAGTCCAGTTCTAAAAACGGGGGGAATTCAACCAGGCCGGCTATGTTGTCTATATGCAATCAGAAAATAGCACATAAAAGATCCCAAAGACCCTGAATACGTACCTCCAAAAAAAAAACAACAACAGTTTTTGGCATGCTGTGGAGGCTAGTATTCAGCCCTGTATTTCACATCCCCGGCGATGTCGATTAAAAACAATTCACCACCTGGCATTTGTTTCCATTTCAAAATCGCCCTTGCGTAGTGACGACACGAAAAACGGTTCGAGTAGCATTTAAAACACGCCCGAGGCAAATGTTTCATTGTTCAATTTCCGAATAATAGATCAATGCAAGTAAAAAACATGTCCACCTAGTATCTTTTAAGGTCAATAATATAGTGTTCGCATGCTGCCTTAGGGAGGGGGCGTGGCCACGACTTGTCCCTACTGCTTTATGTAAGGCCACACCGACTTAATTTTATGGATGACATCCGCGCGCGCATTGATTTTCGCCTGTTCTAAAAAAAAAAAAGATCACGTCCTCCGAGGCTCTAGGCCTGGTATTTAGTGACAATACGGAGCCGGTTGTAACTCTGGATTGGACGGCACCCAGGCTACCGAACGACGGCAAGAACTCGTGCCGATTCATAAATTCCACAAAAAGCCAGCATGTGCCGGCTTGTCGTATATGTCGCCATGTTCTGCCGCAAATTCACAATACAAGCTTTGCCTTTGTATTACTATCATGGTTTAGTAGCATTTTTATTTTTGGCCAGGTTTTTATTTTATTCGCCCGCACGCACTAGTTTGGGGGTCTTCAGAGGATGTCATCCATAAAATTATGTCGGTTTGGCCTAAATAAAAATCATGACAGTGTCAACAACCTCCGTCGCCATGGCAATGTATGTTTTCATTGCCAGTCTTGTTGGGTTTAGGGACACCAAATTTTCGCTCATTTCGCATGAAAGGCGTGTTTTCTTGGGTGGGTATGGCATAAATAAGATACAACACGGTGTATTCCGCATCACCCTTGGTCCCAGCCCTCCCGTACTCGAAACGATACGATGCGGTAAAAATACTGTAAGTTCAGTTATGTTCGCAGGGGATAAATTTCGCGTTAGGAAAGGAAAGAATATTTTTGCGATGTTTAAAGTTCACGGTTGAAACAATACTTAAGCACGGGAGTACATTTACAGTGGCGTCAGTGCCTTAACTCTTGGTTAAAATATGCCTCTTATTGTGGCATTGTATTATATATACAGTATATTGTATGGTACACAATTTTGGCCTGTATGCCGCTATCGATGAAGGTCTTCTACTTTTGTCTTGTCTCATTTGAAATGCAGGACAGCGCAGTTCTTGTTGTGGAAACATCGAGAAGAAGGATCAAACAGCGTGTTTATAGTAAAGCAAGTACATTGTGTAATTTCATCTGGGTTTACCAGTAAACAAATGTCCGCGCCAGGTGTGCATTCCACTGACACCATCGCAGCCAGTATAAACAATGACAATGATGTTCACTAGTATTTGCACATTCATGCCCATGAGAGCTAGGCGCCAAAAGACTGGTTATCCAGCTGTTGTACTACATAAAGCAGATCACATTCGCGATCTCATGACTTCGCGATGGAGCGGTCATCGTGAATACCGCGAAAATAAAACCACCACGATCATTTCAAGACTTACAGTACCCTAGTGCGAAAAGGGTCGTGGGTTCCCACGCTCCTCTAATCGTCCCCTAAGGCACCTGTCTGTTTCAGACAATACACAAATTCTTGATGGGTGAGCTCATGGTTCAAAAGTCAAACTCCTGCTCATCAAAGGTCAGAGAGGTTTTGGCAGTAATTCGATAAACACCGTACCTCGACAGATGTCTACATTTCCCCTCAAACTCAGAGTATAGATGTAAGTTTGTTAGTGGACTTAGACTGATACGAGTAACCGAAATAGTAATTTCTCGATCAGTTTTCACTCTAGTTACGGACGAACTTACTCTACGTACGGACGAAATCCTTCTGAAAATGGAGTTCCCAAGCTCTCAAACATGACGAGGGAAGAATAAACTTACCCCATGTTGACTCGTGGTCTTTCTTCTCACGACAGCGCGCTGTAGGCAGGTAAGACTCAGACTGACTGCAACGTACAAGAAACACGTCAACGTGTCAACGTGTAAAATCTGTATCTGTGTCTGTATCTGTATGGTCCTGGTATAACCGGTATAACCGCCCTTCGGTGTAACACCAGCTTGACTTCACGTGATTCCCAGGACCGTTCCCATTGGTCCGTTTGAATTCGTATCCCATAATCACTTACTAGGTACTGCTACTTGGCGACTTCGGGCTCTTCAGGGACGCCGTCTGCGAGGGCCTGCAAGCCCTTTTTCGTAATCAGGCTTTTTTAGTCTTCGTAATCCGTAGGCAGGCTCCCAAAAATCAACGTAATAGTACAATAGCCACAAGCGTAAAGTCGTAATCAGCTTTGAGACTTTAACGTGATTCGTAATCGGCGCCGCGGCGAAAATTTTGCGTAATTCGTAATCACTACACCCCCATGCAGGCCCTCGTCTGTATGTTTGAAAAGATAAAGCTTCGAGTTCCGTCTCATGATCACATCCTTGTTGTCCTGTCACTACCAACTATTTTTGGGGTGTAAGACAGTGTTTGGGGGTTACTCACTCCACAAACTGGAGTGACCGACACCGTATCTATTGTTCTATTCTGTGCTTATTATGCGATTTTGGGGTTAATTCCAAGTGTTTGTTTTGCAACAGAACACAATGGAAAAGTACCCAATTTTAACATTTGCATGTAACACCTCAGCTAGGAAGTGTGAAACACGTGCATTGTTTACGGTAGGAACGTTACTGAATATGTTTCAGTCCATAGACTCGATTTTTTTTACATACAGGGAGGTTTGATAGACTTAAAAGTCTAGTCAAGGGCATTATTGGCCTAGTACAATACAAAAAAATGACAGAATGACAAGCACCCGGAGAGCCGATTTACGCACCCGCCCATGGCCCAGGCGGCAAGGAAGCGTTTCACACATACCTCTATAACCCGTTTTTCACCCCTTCTTTCTTTTTTATGACTTGGGTGTGAAATTGGTTTTACACCACTGTATTTACATAGAAACAATGCAAGGGTACAGTACCCTTGTTGTTGGGGTGAGTAACCCCAAAACACTGTTTTAACCATGTAAACACCACTGGGTTTCATCCTCCCTGAAATTGCGCCTGCAGTACTGCACGAAAACTGATATTTATGCATGCTTAATATAATAATGAATGAATGAATGAATAAATGAATGAATGAATGAAAGACCTTTATTGTACGTTTGTGCTCTAACAAGCTAAGTACAGGTCATGAATAGACAAGGAAAAGGATACAGCATTGACAAACTATACATACTAATTTCTACCACGTCCGCGCCTTGACAAGACTAGACAATCCAACAATTTGCATTCTTCCCCGATATAAAGGCAAAGCCGGTACGGGTGCAGTTATTCTTTGCTGTCTAAATCGCCAAGAATATCGTCATGCCGCCAAGTGGAAAAGCCGCCAAGTCCAAGGTGCGGACGTGGTAGAAATGAACTCGCGGCAGTAAGCTCGTCCTATTGGTTCGCTGTCGATCCAGCAGCGGGGTACAAATTGGTTGGGCAGACGATTGTGCTTTTCATTCATTCTTTCTCTGCCGTTTGACGCTAATCAATCGACGTGGTAAAGGAGGCAAGGCACGCGCCAAGGCCAAGAGCCGCTCTTCCCGTGCGGGTCTCCAGTTCCCGGTTGGCCGAATTCATCGCTTCTTGCGTAAGGGAAACTACGCCGAGCGCGTGGGTGCCGGTGCGCCGGTGTACATAATATATACAAAGAGACACATGACAACTTTACAAGACTTTCATGCTATCCTAATAGCATTTGTGCGTGAAACTGCTGGGAACAGTTATTGTGATGCGTGATTAACTAGAACAAAAGACAAAGTGGCCCCCACAAAGTCGTGCCAGACTTTACTCTCCAAGCAGAGGTTGTGGGGAATGATCGTTGCCTTTTTATATATGGCCGTTTTTTTCTGTTCTGTGGCCGCGAAGCTTCTCTGGCTAATGGATACTGCCTGGCCAATTTGATACTGTTGTCTTTTTGCCACGAGAGGGATTTGCTTGGAGACTATGTGTGTGTACTTGTTACCTCTTGTGTTTGATTCTTGTGTCCCCGTCTTTGTACAGCCTACAATGGTCAGTTTTCTGAATTCTATCGTAGTCCAGAACAGCTTTAGTGCGACTGTTCCCTCCTCTCCAGGTTCACCCTGAAGCTGTGTGCCCAGTGCAAGCTGACCCGGTACTGCAGCCGAGACTGTCAGAAACAACACTGGCTCATCGGACACAAGAAGAGCTGCGGACAAGACACGTGCACTGTCAGTGATGGACTTAGGACCTTCCTAAAATGATTGAGTTGGTGACAGGGAAAGTCTAGTGTGTCAAAAAATAGCTTAGAACATGTACAGCAAATGCAACTTTGCAGACTTAACAACAATTTGCATCTTTGGTATGAAATATTTGATCACAACTTTAGGGTACGGATGTATTGTTTTGGGTGGCCGAATCCTGGGGTTGCCTCTCTGTCCTAATAGCTGGTGTCTGTTACTAGTATGTACATTGCAAGGCTATAGAACCTCATACATGTGCAGTACTACAGTTTCTACCTCCTCTAGTTGATGTGCATATGTAAAATAGCTCCTCTTTCTGAAGCCGACAAGGATATGATAGCAACTTTGGGTCATCTTGGAGTAAGAATAAAGTTGGAGATCTTAAAACTATCTGAGTCCACTGTTATCATTATGGGTACAGTTACTGTAAGGCCACAGCAAGTAATTTTTATGGATGACATCAGGGCTCGCATTGATTTTTGCCTGATTTTGGGTGGAAAAAACAATAAATTTTGTTGCCCTTTGTCAGTGGTCAACATGCCGAAAATGGGCAAAATGGCATGCCTTGCCATGCTGGAACGTGTATATTAGATAAACATGAAGAGAGGAGACAAGACAAGGCTCTGATTTATTGTTTTGACTTTTAAATCTGATGCAGTGATGTATTTCATTTCTTTTATATGTTCCCATTGAATCAAAACCATTTGTACAATGATTGAAAACTTTCCTTTTTCAAAGTTGTTTCAGTGATAAATGCATGTTGTGATAGTTAACGGTAAAGTTAGCACAATATAGGTATCATCTCTTGTTAAACAGGGTTCATGATGTCGAAATTTGAAAATATAGGTATCTTGTTTTTTATGGCCCGCCTTTTTTTCGCCCTCTCGCATTATATTTTGAGCCTGCGGAGGATGTCATCCATAAAATTTACATGCTGTGGCCTAAGCTTTGCTTGAGGTACCACATGCTAGACATACCCATGCCTATGGAACTTTTGGAAGCCTGTGTGATAACCGTTAGAACCCCGTGTGATACGGCTAGTTAGGCCACACCGACTTAATTTTATGGATGACATCCACGCGCGCATTGATTTTCGCCTGTTCTAAAAAAAAAAGATCACATCCTCCGAGCTCACGTCCTCCGAGGCTCTGGTCTGGCTCTAGGCCTGGGTAATCCATGGTAGTTAGCGACAAGACGGAGCCGGTGGTAACTCTGGCTGCCGAAGCTCTACCTACGTACAGTGCCGATTCATAAATTCCGCAAAAGGCCAGCATGTGCCGGTACGTCGCTATGTACTGCCCAAAATTCACAATACCAGCTTTGTACTCCTGTGGTTTAGTAGCATTTTTATTTTTGGTCGACATCGAATGTCATCACGGCCCAGGTATGACTGGTATTTCAAGGAGACGATGGTTGACTTCATGTTCGCGACATCTCTAACGTTTCTAATGTTCCATTCTTCACATGGGTTGAATATTTGGTTCTGCCCACTGGCGTTTTTACAAAAAGGACATTTTCAATTATTCCTAACCATTATTCCCACAGTCAGGATTTACGCCGTATGCTCTGCGTTTCGTGGAAGAATAGGAACAGGAAATGACTCGAACCAAATAAAGACAAAGCCCGCACCTGGCAGTACCTTGCACATAAGATAACGTAAGTGAAGGAAATGGCGGGAGTAAGAAGTCCTTTCTGCGTTGTCCTGTTTTTTCTGTGGATTTGGGAGAGTCGTGGACAGACAGGTAAGATGTTTGCCTGGTGGTAGAATGACATGCAGTTACATGGCCGTAGCCAGGATTTTGAATGGGCGGGTTCTTCCCATTGCTTGAGGGGACCTGGAGCGCCGCAGGCGCGAGGCGAGCACCGAAGGTGCGAGGTTCCTAGGGGGGTCCGGGGGCATGCTCCCCCGGAAAATTTTGAAAAATGAACCTTCTAAAATGGCATTTCATGCATTTTTGAGAGGATTTACAAGAAAAAATCAGAGATAAATTTGTATTCAATGACAAAGGGAGCAGTTTTTCTAAGATTCCAGTCCATCTTTTCAAGAAAAATATTGGACCTTTACATAAAACCTGGACCAAAAAGTGGACCTTTACATAAAATTGGACCAAAATGTGGACCTTTGAGCCTTGTGGGGTCGTTCTTCTGGCTACGGGCATGAGTTATAACTTTACTGTTTCGTGATCGTTTGTTTGAACCATTCGAACCAGCGAAGGGACTGTGCTCAATTTGGGGGTGCGAACCAACAACACATAAGGCGGCAGAAAATCAGCCCGGCAAAGCAAACTGTCAAAGGGAAACGAGCCGAGAGGTAGCAAACAAAAAAATTCATGACACGTGTGGGGTACGGTACATTTTGTGCATCACCTTTTTTGGCAATCTCTAGATAAGAAGCAATTCTTGCGTATTTAAAGTTTTTTTTTCTTCTCTTTATTGTGAAGTTGTTTGGCATTTTCCAATTCGGTCATGTTCATCCTCAAAACAAAAGAGAAGACGTCACTATGGATCGATTAGTTTAAAAAAAGCTTATAGGGCTTTACACGTTTATCCTGGATCGAATAAGTCTGTTATTTTAGCTGAAGTACAGAATGTACATACCGCTTTATGAGAGGTTTATACGTGCCAGTGAGAAAAAAAGAGAAGAACAGATATCAGGGTAGACAGAGGTAAAACAAGATTTAGATGCGTCAAGTACTAGATACGGTCTTTGGTCAATTTACTAAACGGTCCTTTTTGTGCATCACCTGTTGTAATAATCTCTAGATAAGAAGCAAATCTT